AAGGTATAGAGTAACTGAAGACTAAAGTAAAACATTTTTTTTATCTTCACCTGAGGACATTTTTCCATTTTTTGTTCAGACAGAGTGGGAGGGAGAGAGAGAGAAACATCGCCGTGAAAGGGACACATCGAGTGGTTGCCACCCGCACGACCCAACCAGGGCCAGGAAAAACTGCAACCAAGGTACGTGCCCTTAGCAGGAACCGAACCCAGGTCTCTCCAGACCGCAGGCCAACGCTCTAACCGCTGAGCCAAACCGGCCAGGGCTAAAGTAAAATTTTACTGTAATATTATGACTATCTCAGGGCTTATATATTTTTAAATTTTTTCCTCTTTTCTTTATTGATTTTCAAGAGAGAGCAAAGGAGAGGGAGAGATAGAAACATCAATGAGAGAGAACATTGATTGGCTGCCTCCTGCATGCCCCCCACTGGGGATTTGGCCCACAACCTGGGCATGTGCCCTGACTGGGAATCGAAGTGGGGATATTTTGGTACATAGGTTGATGCTCAACCACTGAGCCACACCAGCCGGGCTCAGGGCTTATATATATACATATACATATATGCGCGTGTGTGTGTGTGTGTGTGTGTGTGTGTATTTTAATCCTCACCCAAGGACATTTTTCCATTTTTTTGTTTAGATAGAGTGGGAGGGAGAGAGAGAGAGAGAGAGAGAGAAACATCTACATGAAAGTGACACATCGAGTGGCTGCCACCCGCATGACCCAACCAGGGCCAGGGACACATTGCAACCGAGGTATGTGCCCTTAGTGGGAACCGAACCCGGGTCTCTCTGGACCACAGGCCAACACTCTAACCTCTGAGCCAAACTGGCCAGGGCAGGGCTTATATTTTTAAAGCACTTGTGTATATTGTCTCCTATTCTTTTTAAATTCTTTATTACCAACTGGCCTGTGGTTTCTGTTTCAGAAAAATTTTTAGTCAAGAGTAAATGAAAAAAATATTGTGTTTACACTATTCTACCTTTACACCAGGAAATTGGGGGTGTGATTCTGTTATCCCTTTAGACAGTTTCATTGTCCTACACTTCTCATAAATGTCCTCTCAGAATGTGTCTCTAGTGTTTACAAACAAATGTATTTCATATAATGTGGCCCCTTAATGCAAGCAGACTAGTTCATATTGTAGTCAGCTGATGAAAAATGATCTGTTCTAATGCTGAAAGAAAAATTGGACAGCACAATTGGAGAACATTCTCTTGAGTGGCACTAATTTAGATTATATCTTATGGATTTGGCATTTAGGAGGTCATTTAGAAGTAATTAAGTTATCTGAGGAAAATAATGTAAAGCAGGGTAAGGGACACAGAAAGTGCCTGTGGGGTGGAGGGGTGAGGTTTACTTTTTTTTTTTATCCTCATCTGAGGACTTTTTTTTTTTTTTTTGGCATTTATCTTTAGATAGAGCTGGAGGAAGAGAGGGGGGAAGAGAAAGAGAGAAACATCGATGTGAGAGAGACACATCGACTGGTTGCTACCCACACAACCCCAACCAGGGCCAGGGACAAACTGCAACGGAGGTACATGCCCTTAGCGGGAACTGAACCTGGGACTCTCTGGTCCGCAGGCCCACACCCTAACCGCTGAGCCAAACCGGCCAGGGCGAGGTTTACATTTTAAGTAATATGATTAGGTCTCATGGAGAAGGTAACAGTTGAGCAAACACCTGAAGGAAGTGAGGGAGTTGGCCATGCAAATATGTGGGGAAAGAATGTTACAGGCAGAGACGAATAGCCAGTGCAAAGGCCCTGAGGAGGAGTGTGCCTAGAGTTTATGAGGAAAAGCAAGGAGGCCAGTGTGGCTGGAGCCAAGTGACAAAGAAGGAGAGAGAAAATGAGGGCAAGGAGGTAATGTGTACACTAGGAGATACGTAGGCCATTGTAGGTCACCGTGGATTCTAATTTTTCCTCTTAAGTGAGATTGGGAGCCATTGTAGAGTTTTCAGCAGAGGCATAGCATGATCTGGCTTAACTTTTCAAAGGATCACTGGACATGGTTGAGAACAGTAGGGTGATGACGGCTGTTGCAGTGATCTAAGATAGACATGATTGTGGCTTTGTTGGATCATAGTAGTAGTTGAGGTGGTGATAGGAAGTGCTCCAATTCTGGTTATGTTTTTAAATAAATATTTTAATTGATTTTTAGAGAGAGAGGAAGGGGAGAGAGAAACATCAATGTGAGAGTGAAACATCAGTCAGCTGCCTCCTGCATACCCACCACCAGGGATGGAGCCTGCAACCCAGGCATGTACCCTAACTGGGAATCAAACCAGCAACTTTTCAGTGCATGGGACAATGCCCAACCAATAACCAACTGTGCCACACTGGCCAGGGCAATTCTGGTTATGTTTTGAAGGTAGAACTTAGAATATTTGCTGATGAATTGGGCATAGGGTATGAGAAAGAAAGGAATAAAAAAATGTGCTCAAGTTTTTTTAGTTTAATACTTGGAAGGATGGGATTGCTACTGATTGAGATGGGGAAGCATTGGGAGGTATTAGCTTTTGTGGGGGGAAATCAAGTCTTTCATTTAGGACATGCTGAGTTTCAAATGTGCTAGGCAAGTGATACTCACATAGACTGGCTTTGGTTCATTAACTAACTGTGATCAATGAGATAAGGAGCTTAATACTGAACATAAATCGTCTATGGCAATAAGCATATAGTATCATTTTTCCCCTTAAGACTTTATCTATGAAGGAAGCACTGCATTAATTTACATGCCAGCTCAAGCTCTTATCATCTTGTGATCAGGTAACAAATATTTACTTCATAGACCTGCTACTCTGAGTACCACCATATTCAGACAGCCAAATCAAAGTGTCAAGTAGACAACTGGATATATGATTCTGGAGTTGGAGCAGAAGTCTATGACTAGAGTTTTATTAGGTGCAAATTGGGCTTGGCTACTGTAGAGATGAGGTATGAAGCTATGGAACAGGATGAAATCCCCCAGGGAGTGAGTGTAGCTAGAACATAGAAAAGGATTGAAGACTTAACCCTTGGTATGCCAATATTTTGGGAGTGGGAAGATGGGAAAGATCCAGCAAAAGAAATGTGAAAAGATCAGCCAGGAAGTTAAGAGGACAGATGGGAAGAGTGGGAGTTCAAGGCCAAGTGAAGACAGTTTTAAAGAGGGAGCAATCAGGTAAATCAAGGACTAAGAGATCATTGGTGATCTTGACAAAAGCAGTTTGGGTAGGATGGTATGGACGGTGATCCTTTTCAGACTCACATAGCAATTCAACAATGGTTATTGATGAAATGCTTATGAAATACCTTTGATGTGCTAGGCATTGTGCTAAAAAAATCTTGCAAGTTTTAGCCCTGGCCAGTTTGGCTAAGAGGTTATAGCATCAGCCTGAGGACCAAAGGGTCGAGAGTTCGATTTCTGGTCAAGGGCACATACCTGGGTTGCAGGTTTGATCCTTGGCCCTGGTCGGGGTCATGTAGGAGACAGCCAGTCCATGTGTTTCTCTCACATTGATGTTTCTCTCCGCCTGCCACATCCCCCCCTCCACTCTGTCTAAAAATCAATGGAAAAATATCATCAGGTGAGGATTAACAACAACAAAAAAAAATCTTGCAGTTTTAAAAATACAAAACCCTGTGAATGTAAGGATGATTATTATCCTTATTTAACTGATGAGGAAATAGGCTTAGATGTATTAAAATTTTTTACCAAGGTCATAGAGCAGTACAGAGACCTTTTTACCAAGGTCATAGAGCAGTACAGAGACCTATTTATTTTCAGCAACAGTTTCAGCCAGTATTTCCTTCATAGTCATTGCTGGGTACTGTTTGGTCTCACTGTTTACTTAGGAAGACATCGCGAAAAGTCCCAATCCAGATCAAAAGGTATAAGTGCAAAGAATGTTTAAGAACCTATTGCCAGACAAAATGGACGTAAGTCATTGGACCAAACCACAGCACCGCAGTGTTTTTTTGTTTGTTTGTTTGTTTGTTTGTTTGTTTGTTTGTTTTTTAATACCTGATCTTTTGTATCCTTCATATAAACAATGGTCTGAAGACTTCAGTTCTTTAATTTTTGCCTCCATTCAGTCTTTGGCAATCTTTTAACTAATCCTTTCAAATGTTGTTATTTGGTGACTGTTTATGATTTCCTTTTCAAAAACTGTAAACATATAGTGAGATTTTTGTTTCTACTCCTTGGAATGTTGAATTTAATTCTATTGCAATCACTTCTATACAGTGGTTTCCTCTATAATAATTTCCTCTGTAATAGTTTTATATTTCCATTCTTTAGTATCAAGTCTAATATATTCACTTCCTTAGAAGCTGTTCATCAAAACGTTTATTCTAGGAAATATTTTTGTCTCCTTCTAGTGCCTTCCTTTCTCTTTGAGTCCCCTGGAAGAAACGCTCAAGTTTTGGGGACAAATTTAAGTTTTCCATTTTTCTCTTTTTTTTTTATAATCCTCACTCGAGGATATTTTTCTATTTATCTTTCGATAGAGTGGGAAGGAGAGAGAGAGGGTGAGGGGGAAAGAGAGAGGGAGAGGGGGAGAGAGAGACACACACTGATACAAGAGAGACACATTGACTGGTTGTCTCCCACATGACCCCAACCAGGGCCAGGGATGAACCACCACGAAGGTACGTGCCATTGACCAGAATCAAACTCACATCGAACCCGCATCTCATTGGTCCATGGACCAATGCTCTAATTGCTGAGCCAAACCGGCCAGGGCGCATTTTTCTCTTTCTGTGCTGTATGTCATGGGAGGACTGGTCTTAGGCTAGGCAGCTTAACAAGTTTTCTATTTTAATTGCAGACTTCTCATAGTACTTCTCTAACCTAGTAAAATATTTATACTTTGACAAATATATTGTTCTGAGGATATATCCCTTTTTTGCCTGTAGAATCTGAATCTAGGAAGGGTTGTATACCACTATTATCTTTAAATCTTCATGTCTACAACATAGTTTATTGACAGCAAATTTTTATTTTTATTTACAGATGTTCGCACACAAGCTATGTATCAGATGATGGATCAAGGCTTTGTAGGACTTATTTTTTCCTGTTTCATAGAAGATAAAAACACAAAGGTATTGTGTGTGTGTGCCTGCATATGCATGTGTGTGTGTGTGGGGGGGTGGACAGGGAAGGTTTCAATGACAAAGGTCATTGAGTGAGGACCTGAAGAAAGTGAGGGAGCAAGTCTTGTGGATTACTTGGGGGAAGAGCCTTCCAGGCAGAGTAAATAGCCAGTGCAAAGACCCTGAGGTGAGTGTGCCATGTTCAGGGGACATCAAGAAAGCCAGTGTGGCTACAGCAGAGTGAGGAAGAGTGTGGCAATATGTCCCAGTTTCTCTCTGTCAGTCCCAGTTACCCGTTCAATTAAATCACTCCTTGGATGTGTCCTGGTTTGGATGATAACTCATTTGGTCATCCTACAGTGAGGTCTGAAAGATAACTGGGACCAGATGTTGTAAGGCCTTGACTTCACTCTGAGTTGAAAAGCCACTAGAGAAGCAATTTTCAACCTTTTTCATCTCACGGCACACATAACCTAATTATTAAATTTCTATGGTATACCAAAAAAATATATTTTTTGACAATCTGACAAATAAAATAGGTATAATTTTGATTAATTCACAACAGACGGCTATTGTGTTAAATGTTGTCATTTTTATATTTCACAATCTAAGGGAAAAGAGGTCAGTGCCCCTGACTAAACAGTCAGGTATTGTATGTTTTAAAAATTCTTGCAGCACACCAGTGTGCTGTGGCACACCAGTGGAAAATCGCTGACCTAGAGGGTAATGGGAAATTTCTGGTTATGTGTTGATAAGAGACTGGATATAGGGTGGGAGTGGGAGCATGGGGGGCAAGGGGGTATGGAATCCATGGCATCCATGAAAGCAGCAAGATATTACAGTAATCCAGCAAGAAATGATAGAGGTTTGACCACGGTAGTAGGAGTGGAGGCAATGAGAAGTGGCCAGATTCTGCATATATTTTGATAATAATAGTAACAAGTGCTGCCATTTATCACCTATTGTATGGCACATACTTATTAGGTGTTTTACATAAATATGCTCTAACCCTGACAACAAGCCTATGAGGATTATTAATATCCATATTTTATGGATGAGCAAACTGAAGCTCAGAGATGTTAAGCAGCTCTATCGAATGGCTAGTCTTGCTATTCTCTATTTAGAGTGCTTCTGTTCGAATTTTATGATAACGTCAAGAGATTTTGCTATGTGTCAGTTCAAACAAAAAAAAAATACTTTTTAACATTATAGGTATGAATTTTGAATATCCTTTCATTTAGTACATCAGTTATATTCTCAGAATCTGTTAACAATGAATATTCTTCATAAAATCACTTTTCCACAAACATTGAAGTTCAGTATTTTGAACTATATATTTCATTTGAAATGCTTTTGGTTTTGTCATAAATTTATTTGTTGTCATTATAAATAGTCATTGCATACGTTTGTCAGCTTCCAACAAAGCAGTTTGAATACTCTGGTTCTTAGTTTCTTGGTTCTCATGCTTGTGAGCAGTTTTCTGCTGTCACCTGAGCAGATGTTTGATTGTGGTCATTTCATGTTGAGTTAGTTATGCGATACTTCTTACAGAAACAGATTTATGTCATATTCCATCTTTATAATCTCTTTTAACTTTCCACTTTCAGAGTGGTCTTTGAGTTTTAGGTTAGAGTCTACTAAATTGCTATACTTCTTTCCAAATTAATCCTTCTCTGTGTGACCTTTCTTTCTTTTTTATATTTTGTAGACTGGCCGGGTACTCTACACTTGCTTTCAATCCATTCAGGCCCAAAAGAGCTCAGAGTAAGTATGACAGAGATGTATGTAGTACTAGTGGGTTAATCTCTAGTCCAGGAAAATGATTGTTTTGTTTCATTTTATTTCTCTCACTGATGAGATGCTAAGAATTGTATAGTCTATTGCCAGTAGCATCTCTGAGGGGTTAGAATCTCTTTAGTATCTTGTATATCAGGGACCTAGAAAGCTAGGATCATACAAGCAGTCTTTTAATTGCAATTGCATCATCATAGCCCTGTCCTGCATTTCCTTGCTTGCAATTATTGTAAACTGAGTTGCACTGCTCCTTTTTCTTTTTCTGGTGAATTGTAAAACAAAGACAGAGTATGCAGAGTACTATAGATTCGTATAGACTATTGTCTTTGCTGTGCTATAAACTTGATTTTAGAATTAGAGTATCTCATTCAAGTGTTTGCATAGGTTAGTTTCCTCATTTAAGTTCAATTCAACCTAAATTAAAAAATCTTAATTTAATATTTACTATATGCCAAGCATCATGGTAGGCACTGAAGATGAAAGCCAAGTTCATTATCTAATTGGGAAACAGAAGCAAAGAATGTCTTAAATTTTTTTCTTTTCTTTTTTTTTAGAGAGAGAGGAAGGGAGAGGGAGAGAGATAGAAACATCCATGAGAGAGAACATTGATGGGCCGCCTCCTGCATGCCCCCCACTGGGGATTTGGCCCACAACCTGGGCATGTGCCTTGACTGGGAATCCAACTGGTAACCTCTTGGTGCATGGATTGATGCTCAACCACTGAACCACACCAGCCCAGCTTAAAGTTTTTTCTTATCATAATTGTTACTTTATTATTATAACATTGTAGCATTGTGTGAAATAGCAACAAATTGGAAGAAACATATGTCTGTCAGTATAGACTGATTAAATAAAGTATGATGCATCCAAATAATGGATTAATATGTAGCTGTTAAAAATATGAGAAAGTTCAATAGTAGTACAGAAGTATCTCCAAGATACATTTGTTAAATAAAAAGTTGAGCCCTGGAAAGTTAGGGTCAGTGGTTAGAGCTTTGGCCTGTGGATTAAAGAGTGGCAGGTTCGATACCTCGGTTGCAGGTTTGATCCCAGGACTAGTCAGGGTCATGCAGGATGCAACCAATTGATGTGTCTTTCTCACATCAATGTCTCTCTCTCTCCTTCTTCCCCCCCTCCCACTCTAACTAAAAATCAATGGAAAAATATCCTCTGGTGAGGATTAAAAAAAAATGTTTTTAAGGTTGAGGTACAAAAATGTTACATATAGCATGCTACCATTCATGTAAGAATATGGAAGGGAAATATATACATGAACATATCAGTGTACTTGCTTATCAATACATAGAACGTATGGAAGGAAACACATCAGTCACCACAGCAGAGAGGAAGTGGGAATGAGGAAGTAGAAGTTGTGAAGACTGCACTGTATCCTTTGTATAGCTTTAGAATGTTGAACTATACAAAAGTGTTGCTTCATCAAGAAACTTTAATTTCTAAAATTTTCATCAAAGTTATAGATGCACATGCATGAAAATATCCAATGGTATGGAAGAACTTACAATAAATAGCCACAGCCTTCAAAAGGAACCATTTTTCTCCTAATTTTGTTTTCAGTTCTGATGTTTACTTTGATATCTCTAAATAATGTAGTTTTGATACTCTTTCTTGATTTACTAATTTTAGATATTATATTTTCTTCTTATTATTATGTTACCCTGCTCTCACAAATGAAGGTTTAGTTCACTTACATTATCCCCATCTTCATTTTCCCCAGGGTAGTTTTATTACTACTTTTCATTCTTATGTTGGTTATTTTTCTAATCTTAAATAAGATTTGCCCTTTTATTAATTCTGTCAACAACAGACAACAGATAGTATCTTTTGGCTCCCTACAGTTACTTGTAGTTTTACCATAAACTTTTATATTTCACAGTTGCAAATATTTTTTTGTGTTATAATAATAATTGTATTTTCTGTGCTTTGTCTACTAGTTGATTCTAAGAGTAGAAAATAAAGTGTTTATATTATGATTATGTAAATATTATTCCATGTGTAACCAAGCAGCATAAAGTGGTATACCACAATTCTATTTCTTTTATTATATAGCTTTTTTCTTTTTCTTAGGGTTTTGGAATGGCTCCCCCCCCTAATTTTTCTGCCTTTATCTTAGGAGTAATATAAAATTCTTTGGATCCCCTGCTTTTCCTAGGACTGTTCCCTGAAACCCTCCGTCTTCATACCCTAATCTGGTCATAGCTAACATCCTGGGACTTTTCCTTCATTATCCTTCTGGGTTGGATCCATTGTTGTCTGAATTTCATGTGACCTTTCTTGGTTCGCTTTGTTATTTTGCTGTTAAAGACCTTATAGTAACTTCCTAAGAAAGGTGTGCATTTGAACAAAACCTTCTGAGTCCATGCTTATCTGAAATTTTTTTTATTCTTTATTAATAACCTTAATGGAGAAAGAATTCTAAATTGATATTTTCCCTCTCAGAATTTCAAAGGCATCAATTGTTTCATTGTTTTTAAACATCCAGTGTTATTGATAAAGTCTTTTACCAGTCAATTTCTTGTTCTTTGGTAGGGGGCATTTATTTTCTTTCTCTCTCTGATAGCTTTTAGGAACGTCTCTATTCTTTTTTGTTTTAAATATGTTTTTATTGATTTTTAGAGAGAGGAAGGGAGAAGGAGAGAGAGAGATTGATATGTCAATGAGAGTGAAGCATCACTGATTGGCTGCCTCCTGCATGCCCGCCTACTGGGGATCAAGCCCACAACCAGGGCATGTGCCCTGACTGGGATCGAACCAGCGGCCTCCTGGTACATGGGAGGACACTCAACCAACTGAGCCACATAATCCAGGCAGGAACTTCTCTATTCTTGAAGCTTTAAAATTTTCTGTGATATACCTACAGTGTGATTATTCTATGATTCAAATAGCTGGATGCTATTTTTTTTTTTTTTTTGTATCCCCAGATAAAACAATCCATAACCTACCTAGTACCTGGGAATTGAAAATCTTATTTATAATTCAGTCCAATCACATAACTTAAAGTTTCTTCAAGTTTAAATCAATCTTTGAGGGATAATTTCTCATTCTTTCAGTTACTACCCTTTCTCCCCATGTTTGACACTAAGATGGCACCTGAAGTTTTGGGGAGGTGATGTAAACAAACTTATACTATAGGGAAAAGAGGATTCCTGGTCTTGTGCTGGTTTTGGGAATCAGGGCAGGAGTCCTTCTATTCCTGGTCAGTGCTCACCTGCACTTAGCCAGTATACTTCTCTCTCATGGACTGGAAGCCTCAACATAAAGAGATACCTTACCAGCTTCCTCTCCTATGATTCTCTCCCTCCTTTTCCCCATAAGTTAGTAGGGCAGGTGTGTCATATCCTTTTCTCTATTCCTTGATAATTCCTTCCTCTGTTTTCCCTTTCTAGTACTATTAATCCGACATGAAAGTCCTAGATTGACCAGAGCGATCCTTTTCACTCATATTTTCTGTCTCTTCTTTTGTTCTAATTTCTCAGGTATATTCTTTTTTTTTTTTTTTTTATCCTCACCTGAGGACATTTTTCCATTTTTTGTTCAGATAGAGCAGGAGGGAGAGAGAGGAAGAGAGAGAGAGAGAAACATTGATGTGAAGGGACACATCGAGTGGCTGCCACCCGCACGACCAACCAGGGCCGGGGACAAACTGCAACCGAGGTACGTGCCCTTAGCGGGAACCGAACCCAGGTCTCTCTGTACCGCAGGCCGACGCTCCAACCGCTGAGCCAAACCGGCCAGGGCTCAGGTATATTCTTGATTTTATCTTCCAACACATTCATTGAACTTTTTATTTTAGTAATTTTATATTTAAGTTCCAAGAGATTTTTTTCTTGTTTACTGATTATTCCCATTTCATAGTATCCTGTTATTGATTTACTGATATTATATTGAAATATCAAATTTTCTTCTGTTTTTTTTTCAGTTATGTTTCCTCTGTAGTCTTTTTATTCATTTTTGTATTTTAAATTGGTTTGTTTTTCCCATTGTAACTCTTTTTATTGTTTGTATATGTGAAGGCTATTATTTCTGAAGGTAAAATTATAACTTCCTGAATTCCTGTACTTAATTTTACCTTTGCTTCTTTAGAGCTTTCTCATCTGTAAATATAAAGTTGTATTTCTCCAATTCCTATGCCTCTAATTCATTTCCTATGTGTAACTTCATTGCCTGACATTTCCTTTACAGCATTTAAATGGTACTGAAAAGAGTAGACACTCTTGTTTTGTTTCTGATCCTTGTGGAAATTCTTGTAGTGTTCGTTTTGCCGTTAAGTAAGACTGTATTTAGGACTCAGGTATACATACTTTTTCATATTAAGAAAGTATCCATAAATTCCTACTTTCCTCTTTTATTCTGTGTTTTAATCAGGAATGAGTGTTGAATTTGTTGTTTTTCAGTATCTATGAAAACAATTAAGATTTTCTTCAGATCTAGTAATGTGATGTATTATATGAATAGATTTCTTACTATGAACCAACCAAGCTTGCCTTCCTGGAAAATTACCCTACTAGATTGTCTTAGTGTGGTGGTATTGGGCTATATTTGCTAATATTTTATTGGGCTATATTTGCTAATAATTTATTTAGTATTTTTGCATCAATAATCATAATTGACAACTTTTTAGAATTTTTTGCTATTTTTTATTTTTTTCCTCTTTAATCACAGTGTCCTGGTGTTCTGAAGAAGCAAGTGCATTTACATTTAGTGTATATTCTACAGCGCATCAATATAATAGAATATGTGCTATGCAGATACACATGTGACATTTACATCAGAATATATTATACCCTTTGGTAGCCAAAGACAACCTAATTGAGCAAAGTATGGTCATAAGAATAGAACTGTTAAGCATTAATGATATCCCAGCTGGTCAATATATTTTGGTGCCAAAGCTATCGAGCAGTTGTGTAGTTTGCAGTTGCCTAACCCTGATTATGAAAACCTATCTGCCAATT